GAATAAGACGGCCCAAGTCAAGTTTAATACTACATGCGGTGAACCTGGGCCCACGTTGGCCAACGGGCTATCCATATTGTGTTTACATTCTGATTTAATAAATTGCGTTCGGAACCCGACTATAACAACTCGTAAGCATGTAAATAAATTAGGACCTTTTCTCTTTCATTTTTAGAGACAAATTTAATAGAAAAAATGTAGGCACTTTAGGATTATCCTTTTAAAAATAAATGAGATGAGCCTCTCCCAATAAAACGCACAAGTTGCGGGGCCCTCAATAATTGGTTAATAATTGTATAGACTTCGGGATCGGTCGTTTAGCAAATTTTATGGCTTTACCCAAAAGAATGATACGCTAGTCGCTTTAGGCGCGCCTTTAATAATTTACTTTTGTAAACTCGGGTGCACATTTATGTGACGCAAATCCAAATCTCAACAGAGTCGAAATATGTCGATAACCACGGGTACATTGATGTGACGTGGTTCGAGATACGTTTTTCACAATGTTGTAATTCTCTGTTAAATTAATAATAATAATAAAAGCGGCAAAGAGTTTAAAGTTTGCACATAAGTTCATAATTGTATAAAATCAGATAATCAAGCCGAATATGACAGTTGAGCGACGTGCTAGAACCACGGAACTCGGGAATGCCTAACACCTTCTCCCGGGTTAACAAAATTCCTTATCCGGATTTCTGGTGCGCAGACTGTTAAACAGAGTCATTCTTTTCCTCGATTCGGGATTCAACCGGTGACTTAGGACACCATAAATCTCCCAAGTGGCGACTCTGAAATAAATAAATAAATCCCATTTCGATTGTCCTTTAATTGGAAAAACTCCCTTCCGCGCCCCTTTGCGGCGGCGCGGTCGAAAAAGGAGGTGTGACAGCTCTGGCGACTCTGCTGGGGACCGAACCCAGAATATCTGGTTCAGGGTTCATAATTCGAGCTTAGATGAATTGTTATATTTGGATTTATTTATTATTTGATCTTATTACATGTTTTGGCCTAAATGTGCAAAATGATGCTTTTTTACGCTTTGATATTATTTGAACTGTACATATAAACTATGCCGAAACCTTCTCTTCTCACCTCTGGGAATGTGCTTACTGGTTGTGACTCCCTATTCTGTTAGTGTCATACCCTGAAATAAAAGAGTCTCGGAAAGTTTCTAAGCCGGCTGGCCTTTTGGTTCCCGGAAAGGAGCTCCTTCCTCAACTCGAGTTGTCCGCTCGGGTACACTGNAAAGCCGGAGGGAACTTTTTCGAAGGGTGTAACTTGTTATTGCAAATGTGGATGACCGAACACCTATGTCACCGAGCCCAGTTCCTGAGCCATGGATCCTCTGAGAAAACCTACATAGAGGAGTTCTACACCAGAATTAATGAGGTCCGCTTACCTGAAGGAGTCTCGACTTGGACCTCATACTTTCGGACCCTCAACGCCAGTCAAATACAGTGGACATTGGGATGGTTACTGATCGACGAAGTCATATATATGCCAGCAGCTAGGTGCCATTTTCTCTTGATGGGGCTTAAGAGCATTCAACCTTATGCACCGTATCGGGTTTTGAGGCAACTTGGGAGGTGTCAGATAG